CCAAGCCCCATCACTCCTAGGAAAGGCATTATCCACTGGAATTTGCAATGGGATATCTGACTGGGATGGGTGAGTTACTTCACACCCCTGGGTTATGGAGTGCTACTCAATCTCCACTGGGATCCTACTGTTCTGCTGCAAGATGGACCTGTTGAAACGCACTATGCCTGAAATGGCATATCAAAGACATAAGATTTATATCTTCAAGGGACAGAGAAAGAATGTTAAGTTTTCTTTTAGGAGTTTTGGGGCATATTTCTCTATTATCGGAAGTCTAGGGTTACTATTTAAAATTGTCCTTTGTATTAGGGGTCGGATGGCATGGTGCACTCCATCCATTTTTTTGTGAATCACTGTAACATCCTCCCCTTCCTGCTCCTCACTTTTCCAAGAATTCCACCACTTAGCGCCCTAATTAGGTTTTGTCACAAGCACTTGGATTTTAATCCGCCGCAGTTTGTGCTCTCCTAGCTTTGCAAAATGGCAAGCTAAGGTCTCCAGCTTATTATCTTGTTCTCCCACCTTGTCTGCTAGCCCCGAAGTTAGCAGAGTAGTGGACAACCGCATGTCCTTCTCTAACCTCAGCTCTTCTTCCAACTTTCTAACTCGAGCTTCAGCCTCTGGTCGGGCACTCGTGGCCAGGCGAGCAGCCCACAGTAGAGGCCAACCCCCTGCGGCAGCCTTTCTTTTCCCTTCTTTGCCACAGCGTGCTATGTGCAATTTTTCAAACAAACGCGTTAAAGCAGCTGGCATTTCGGGGGCGTCCTCATACTCACACGGAGGTCCACAAGCATCTAACATATGGGTCACCCTTCCCCACATAAAGGTCAACGGCCAACGTGGGACTTCCCTCGCAGATGTCTCTTTCCCAGGACCCATTTCTTCTGGCTGGCTCGCCAATTGTTGGTTTGCAAACTTGGGAGTTCCCCAGGTGAAAACTGAACTTGGCCCCCATACACGGAGGGCAAAGAGACAGGGCAAAGGGCAGACCATTCCAGATTGGTAGGTGGCAGGTTTAATAAGCAAGGGAACTTACTTATGAGGCTTGTCTTGGGCTGCTGCAAGACAAATAGATCTCCACACCTGGCCGCCGGAATCTGAAAAGTTTATGCAGAGGCCTTAACCGAGTTCATTCACGTGTACCTCCGGATGGTCTCAACCACACATTACTCTCTCGGGCTCTGGCTGTGGAGACAGTGGGCGGAACTACACTCTAAGGACAGGGGAGAGGATGAGGAACCTCCAATTGCTGGGTCCCGCTTGAGTGTTAACCAGTGGTCACGTCCTTTCAATGACCTCCTCCAATATTATTTTAAAGGGATAATATAGAAAGATGGAAAGAAGAAATCATCTTAAGTCCATCTTCTAGAGGCAACCACTTTCAATATTTGGGTTTATTATCTTCTACTCATTATTCATCTTTTCCAAAAAAATATGATCATAAGATAGATACAAAAATTTTATGTACTTATTAAACTGCCATCTTATATTTACTGCCATTTTTTATAATTATAAACATAATAACGCCACTCTCTAGAATGGCTGTAGTTAAAAAGAGAGTTCAAATAAATACGAGGGAGGATTTGGAAGTATTAGAACTGGAGGAACTCGTACATTACTGATGGAGATATTAGAAAGTATATCCACTTTGTGAAAGAGTTTGGCTAGATCTTAAAAGGTTCAACATAAAATTACCATATGAATCATTCATTCTACTCCTAGGCATTTGTCCAAGAGAAATGAAAGCTTATCTCCATTGCAGCATTATATATAATAGCCAAAAAGTAAAAATAATCCCATTGTCCATTAATTAGTGAATAAATGAACAAAATGAGGTACATCAATACAAATTGGAGTATTACTCATTATTAAAAACTAATAAACACACCTTCTGTCCCTGACTCTGCCATAGACTAATTTTTAATTGGCAGAGGCTTGAAGTAGTGGCCATCAAAGTCCCTCTACAGAAAGGAGCTGCCCACCAGTGTCTCCTGGGCGAGACACACTGTCCCTCAGCTGTGCTACAAACAGAAGAAACTAGAAAGGTTATGAAAAATTGTTAGCTTACCCCAGGTTCTAGATTATAGTTGACTAAGAAAACATGGCAACTGAGTGCACTGTGAGATGCTTGACTGCATCCTAGATCAAGGGAAAAGGACTAGGAAGAACATTGTTGGGATGAAGACGGGGTATATGCAAATATACGTTGCATATTAGAAAAAAAATGAACTACATATATGCTACTATATGGAGGAATCACAAAAACATTATGAAAAGTAAAAGAAGCAGACACAAAGCACAGCATAGTGTTTTAACATATTTATATGAAATGTCCAGAAAAGACAAAGCAATAAAGATAAAATGTGGATTGGTGGCTGCCTGGTGTTGAGGGTTGGAAGTGGAAGTGACATCTAAGAGTAAGAGGAAACTTTACTGAATGATGTAATTGTTCTAAAATTGAATTGTTGTGATGGTTGTGTATCTCCGTATATTTACAAATATCATCGTATCATACTTAAAACTGGTTAAGTTTTTTGACATGTAAATACCACAATAAAGATGTTTAAAAAGCAATAAAATAAGATATTTTATATTAAAACTGCCTTTTGTTACCAAAATGTCAAGTTTTAAATGCTGTTAAATTCCCAGTTTCTTATTTTCATTATGGCCAGAATATAAAGCCAAGGTCTACCTAACAGGATTCTTATAAGAACTAAGTTAGATAACATGTGGGAAGCTCGTTTATAGAACTTTTGTAGACAATAGTACTCGACGAAGAACGGTTTTCATTCACTAATGGGCAATAATTTTAACTAGTACACTGGAAGTTCCCAGAGGACAATGATTATATCTACTTTTGCTTAACAACTCTTCCCTAGCATCTTACTTAGGACCTGATGCATAATAGGTTTTTATATAATATGTTTAATAAAAATAAAAAATATATGTATGGATATGTCAGTGTTCACTGAAGAATTTTTAAAATTTTTAATTGTGGTAAAACGCACACAAAATTTACCATCTTAACCATTTTTAAATGTACAGTTCATTCGTGTTAAGTACATTGACACTGTTGAGCACCTATCTCCAGATCCTTGCTCATCCTGTAAAACTGAAATTCTATACACATTAAGCAACTACCCATCTCCCTCCCCGGAGGATGGTTTCTAGGAGAAACCATCATTCTACTTTCTGTCTCTATGAATCTGACTACTACTCTAGGTACCTCACGTAAGTGGAATCATACAGTATTTGTCCTTTTGTGATTGGCTTATTTCACTTAGCATAATGTTCTCAACTATCATACATATTGTAGTATGTGTCAGAATTTCCTTCTTTTTAAGGCTGAATAATATCCCACTGTATGTGTATACCACATTTTGTTTCTCCATTCTTTTGTTGATGGACACTTGTGTTGCTTCCACTCTTTGGCTACTGTGAATAATGCTGTTATGAACATTGGTATACAAATATCTCTTTGAGATCTTGCTTTGAATTCTTTTGAATATATGCCCAGAAGTGGAGTTACTGGATCATATGGTAATTCTGCCTTTAATTTTTTGAGGAATCATCGTATCGTTTTCTATAATTGCTACACCATTTTACATTCCACCAACATTGCACAAGGGCTCCAATTTCTCCACATCTTTGCCAACATTTGTTATTTTCTGCTTTTTTTGATAGTAGCCATCCTAATGGACGTGAGGTCAGATGATATCTCATTTTGGTTTTGATTTTCCTTTCAGAGAATTTTTTTTATATACAAGACCTCTATAAGGAAAAAGGTCACGAAACTGGCTGAATGCGTTTTTATAATGTGACACTCCAGTGGATATTTTCACTAAGAATTAATACTGGAGTCTTAAAGAAATAGCCCCCACCTAGATCACACATTTCAATTAAAATGTGAGATATTTTTACCAAAAAATAGCATGCCTGATATAATATATATGGAAGACTGATACCCATCTTTCAGTAGTCAATCTACATTTCTGTCATTAAAATTGAGCTTTAAACGAGCATTTGGCTACTCAGTAAAGGCTACTTCTTGTTAGTTGGGAGATAGTAAGAAATGAAAAAGCATCGGACTTACACCCCAAATCAATATCCTAGGTTGAAGAAAGCAGTGTCATCTGGCATTTGAAGATTGCTCACCTACCTCTTGACTTATTTGTGAGAGAGAAAGAAAATAATATGATAAATTTTCCTGAGCCACAGAAATCTTACAGTGTCTTTGAATGGTTCTTCAATTCATCACAGAATTTAAGTTCTTATTAACAAATTAATTGAAGTTCATATTGTCTAACCTTTGTGGTCATAACATTAACCTTGGGTGCTTCGTAGAATTCAATTTCTCAGACCCCCTCTCTTGGAGAATTTGACTCTTTAGGATAGGAAGGAGCCCAAGAATCTGTAGTTTCGTTAAACACTCAAGTAATATATTACTTGTTCACCTTTGAAAATATTGCTTTGATTATAGTTACCAAAGTACGCACATGTCTTAACCCATTACCTAGCCAAAGAAAGGGCGTTTTAATAAAGATAACATATTTTAACATTTTAATGAGTGAAATATTTATTATTTTAAATTACATTAGTTTTTATGTTATCAAACATGCAATTAAGACATTAGATTTTCAAACCGTCATTAATAATTGAACATAGAGAATCAAAATCCTGAAATCACAGGAAGTTAGAGTTGGAGAAAATTGTGAATGCTGTATATTTTGTCTTCTGTTCCATAGGATTCACCTGGCCATCTATGAATTTAAGGCTCTGATTGAGAAGACTCTAATTTTCTGTAGAATGCACCACAAAATGTGATTATAATAAAAGCCATATTGATGTGCAGCTCCATTAATATTCAACATACACCAAAATGTTCAAAATCAAATTTGTGACCATTTTTCCTGTAGAGAAAGAAAGAGAAAAAAAAAGGAAATTAAAGCGTTGCAAGGAAGAGATGAAGTGTGCTACATTTTAAAAAATATTAAAAAGGACATTAAAGGAGGAAAAAACTAATGAAATCCAAATATATTCTGTAAGTTAGTTAATAGTGATATACCAATGCTAATTTCTTAGTTTTGACAAGTGTACCAGGGTTCTCTAAGGTGTTAACCTTAGGAAATACTGGGTAAAGGATATGGAGATTTGGTACTGTCTTTGAAATTTTTCTGAAAATCTAAAATTGTTACAGAATAAAAGTTTTATTTTAGAGAAAAGGAATATTTTAAACTCCCTGGGTAGTATCATTGCAGTAAGTACATTCATTGCTATAAGTTTGACCTTTGGTTACACAGATTGGAGCCATTTCTATGGTGCAAAACTGTAGATAATATGCAGGCAGAATCTAGTTTGGATGTTGAACATAGAGACAACAAAGCACTTCTCGGCAAGGAGGATTTGAACATGGAACATGATGTAGAGGCTGTGCTCCACTTCCGGACACAGCTGGGCTCTTAGAGCATGGTACATGTCCTCTCCCTCTGTGGGGCCACTTGGCTCTTCTACATGCTCAGTCCTGACTCAGTCTTGGGACCCACCCAGATCTGAGAGAGGAGAGATTGGAGATCCTGTTAGTGGTTCTCTAGAAACAGATGCCAATTTGGGGGATTAAATGTGCAAAGATATTGTGAGAGGAAACACGTGTGAGAGGAAATGAGGAGGGAGGTAGGAAGGCTGACCAAACCTTAGGAGTACAAACTCTTTCATAGTGAAGGAAACGGGAAGGGAGATTGGATGGAGGTATTCTAGAATGCCCTGCTCTCCAAGGAAGATTTGGAGACTGTCATGGAGTTCACGAGACAAAGTCAACCATCAGAGATGTCCCTTTCTACCATGAATGGTCCCATTGTGATGGATTTCAGAGTACAATGATCAGTTTGGGTTTTTGCATGATTATTATGTTCCCTGCAGTTAGGGGTCTGCAAGGGTCAGTATCATGGCCACTATAGAGATCTATCATCCTGCATCAGGGCTTTGGAATTACATCATATTGGTTGCTAGTCTCCCATTAGTAACTCATATTAAGTTAAATTAATTGACTTATACATTTGTACAATATCAAGCAAAATTATAGAGAGAGCTTAAATACAAAATTAATTTCAGAAGCAGGAACTTCAGGGAAAGGTACTTTAGAATGGCCCCTAATTTTTTACAGAGATCTTATGGTTATTTTCTATCTATATTGTGCCTAAGTTATTTTGCTATCACTTTGTGATAGTTTCTTCATACCTTGGAAGAACAAATATGTACTACTGTGTGCTTACATCTTTTCATCGCAGAAAGTACATTCATTGTGATAAGTTTTTGCATTGGTTGCACAGACTGGATCCAACTCTTTGGTGCAAATTTGTAGAGGATCTGAATATAGTTTACAGTTCGGCTGTTAAACATAGAGAGACAACATAAAATTTATCAGGGAATGAACTCTGAATAAAATTTTATTTACTCAATATGAAATGACATGCATCAAAATTGGAAAAATATAGTCTACATGTAGTTTTAAAAACTAATCTCTTATCACCTCACATCCGTCACAATGGCTATAATTAACAAGACAGGAAAGAACATATGTTGGAGAGGATGTGGAGAGAAGGGAACTCTCATACACTGCTGGTGGGAGTGCAAACTGGTGCAGCCACTATGGAAAACAGTATGGAGATTCCTCAAAAAATCAACGATAGAACTACCATATGATCCAGCTATTCCACTGCTGGGTATCTATCCAAAGAACTTGAAAACACCAATGCATAAAGATACATGCACCCCTGTGTTCATTACAGCGTTATTCACAATAGCCAAGACTTGGAATCAACCTAAGTGCCCATCAAGGGACGAATGGATAAAGAAGATGTGGTATATATACACAATGGAATACTACTCAGCCATAAGAAACGATGAAATCCAGCCATTTGTGACAACGTGGATGGACATTTCGGGTATTACGCAAAGCGAAATAAGTCAGAGGGAGAAGGTCAAATAACGTATGATTTCCTTCATTAAGTAGTAGATAATAACAACAACAAACAAACACATAGAGACAGAGATTGGATTGGTGGTTACCAGAGGGGAAGGGGGAAGGGGGAGGGCGAAAGGGATAATTCGGCACGTGTGTGGTGATGGGTTGTAATTAGTATTTGGGTGGTGAACATGATGTAATCTATGCAGAAATAGAAGTACAATGATGTACACCTTAAATTTATACAATGTTATAAACCAATGTTACTGCAGTAAATAAGAAATTTAAAAAATAAAAATAAAAATAAATTTAAAAAAAAGCTAATCTCTACAACACTAACACCTATAAAATTAACATATATCTCAATTAAAAAATAAAACATCATTAACAAAATAAACAAATGATTCTATAAAAGTAATAATACATTATTTCTAAAAAAAATAAAATAAAATACTATTAATGCTTTTACAAACCTGCTATTGTTTTTTAAAAAAGTCATAGAACTGGTTGAATGTGTTTTTTGCCCCCCCTTTTTCTCCTCAAAGCCCCAGTAGATAATTGTATGTCATAGTTGCACATCCTTCTAGTTGCTGTATGTGGGACTCGACCTCAGCATGGCCTGAAAAGCAGTGCATCGATGCGCGCCCGGATCAGAACCCGGGCCGCCAGCAGCGGAGCGCGCGCACTTAACCACTAAGCCACGGGGCTGGCCCCTGAATGTGTTTTTATAATTTAACAACCACCGTCCTCATGTCACTTCCCGTCTTTTTTCTTTCAAACTGAAGACAAAATCATAAAACTGAATTTTTCTATTTATCCTTGTCTTTTATTTATCCTTGTCTATTTATTCCCTTGTCTTTCTGATAATTTCACTATACATGTGTGTGCATGTCTATTTGTGTGTGTGTGTTTCTGTATGTGTGTATAAACATATGTAGATATAGACATAAATGCAATTTGTGTAGTGCTGATCAGTGTTGGTAATTTACATAAATAAACAATATTGTGTGTATGCTTACATCATCTGTTTTTCAAACTTCTTTGTGACTATGTTTATTCAGATATTTAGAGCTGTAGTTTAAATTTTTCACCTCTATGTAATATTTCACTATTGAAATGAAAATTATCATTATTTTATCCACCTTTAAGTGTATACTTAGATTGGCTCTTTTTTACTTTTGTTTTGCTAAGATGAACACTTCTACTCTAAACACCCTTTGATCTTTCTCAGATGCTTGTATGAAACATTTATGCTCATTAATTGAATTTTTGTGTAATGAGTTATGTACATTTTTATGGTGTATAGATAAGGACAAATGGTTTTACATAGCTGCTAAGTTTCTATTTCTTGACTTTAGTGAAATAATAACACTTTTTTTTTTAATTTTTGGAAGATCTCTCAGTTGTACATTTTGTTTGATGAATTATGCTGTTAAAATTTACAATCTAAAAAAGTTAATTGTTTATCTTTTTCAACTTCCATCAGTATTAACTTACCGGAAATCTGAATTCTGGTGCAGGTGCAAAAGAAGTTTCTGCAACCAACGCATAGATGAAAAGTTAAAAATTAAGAAGAAGATGATGAAGAAGAAGAAAGAGAAAAAGAAGGAGAAGGAGAAGGAAAAGGAGGAGGAAGATGGGGGTGGGGAGAAGAATTGTCCTTGCTAAACAGGGCCCATATTTCTTAATAGCAGACACCTATGCAAATTGCTTTCTCAAGACCCTGCAAATAATGAGGCAAGCTGTTCATGTCATTAGCAAAACAAAAAATTCACAAATTAATATCAAATTTGGAAGTATTTATTAATTCCATATTATTCTTTGTGAAAAATAATTTTATGTTTATTTTTTAATAATCTCTAACATCCTTCTTTGAAGATATCATTTTTCTTCTCCCCATTTTTATAGATGAGACATTCTAGACAGAGAAGACAATGCTTTACAGCATGTCACTTAAATATGAAGAAATCGATTAGTAGCTAATTAATCAGTGCTCTGATGTAAATGTGCATGTCTATGCAATACCTCACAGATGCCTTATTCTGCGATTCATGGTTCACCTTGACCTCTAAGAAGGATAACTATCACCAAAGGTGTCAATGTGTTCCCTTTTTAAACAAAGGCTTGTCTTAGGGGACTCAGAGTGGGTGATCAAAAAATCAGAATACTGGGGCCGGCCTGGTGGCGTAATGGTTAAGTTCGCGTGCTCTGTTTCAGTGGCCCACGGTTTACGGGTTTGGAACCTGGGCATGGACATATATCACTTATCAAGCTATGCTGTAGCGGTGACCCACATACAAAATGGAGAAAGACTGGCAACAGATGTTAGCTCAGGGCCAATCTTCCTCGCCAAAAAAAAAAAAAAAATCAGAATATTGAGCAATACCAGACCCAGAAGAGCTCATTCCTCCCCATCATTTGCATTTAACAACCATAGAATCTGACCTCCAAAAAGGAAAAAAAGAGAATTTAGGTAACGTTCTTTAGTCATAGATGAACAAAGAGTAAAGTTCTACCACCCATTCTAACTCACTGCTCTGTCTCCACTCGTCCAAAGCGGGAAACAAGAAAAAGCTATCCACTGATGCAATTTTAAAAAAGCATTCATAACATGTCCATTTTCATTTTATAGCTTAAGACTTACAAACCCGATTAAAAAAAAACTCCTCCAGGGGCCGGCCCCGTGGCGCAAGCTGTTATTTGCGCGCACTCCACTGTGGCAGCCCGCAGTTCGTCGGTTCGGATCCCAGGTGCGCACCAACGCACCGCTTGTTAAGCCATGCTGTGGCGGCGTCCCATATAAAGTAGAGGAAGATGGGCACGGATGTTAGCCCAGGGCCAGTCTTCCTCAGCAAAAAAGAGGAGGATTGGCATTGGATGTTAGCTCAGGGCTGGTCTTCCTTACCAAAAAAAAAAAAAAAAAAAGATCCTCCATTCCTAGATTACAGCAGTTGTTTCCTGTATTTTCTAAGATATGTGAAATGTTTCACCTTGGACTGGAAATTTTACTCACCAGAATAAAGAGGAAATGCCAAGGCAATGATGAACATAGCTTTGATCCATGATGAGAAGAAAGACATTTTATCAAGTCTGCGGAAGGAACCTTGGCACGTTTACAACACATAGCACAGGGACAAATTTCGTATTTCCAGATGAAAGTTTCTCATTGGTAAAGAAGCCACTCCATCCTCCTAGATTTCTAATTAAGGTGGACCATTCTCTTTTCTTCCCCCAACTCTCAGATTCAATAGGACATATATATAAACAGAAGGCCTCCTAGAGACGTGAGAGCAATCCCAGGACAAGTCCTCTTCGCACATTTAAGAAGGAGCTGCTCCTTCCCCAACCCTTGGCTCAGCCCACAAGGAGCCTGGCTGCATTTAAGGAAATATATCTCATTTTATCCTCAGAAAATAGAAAGAGTTATTTCAGGAAGGACTGAGCTGGAGCTGTCCTCACAGCAATGCCATACACCAAGGCTACCTTCATAAGTTTCCCACCTGACCTACCTGAAACAGAGAAGGCAGTGGAGAGTGAGATCTACGCTTCCAGGGACTGTGCCTATCTTGTTCACTTCTCCTTCTCAACCACTTCCACTCAGCTGAGGAGTCTCTTTTATCGGCCTGTTGGTGAGGAGCTTGATGGGGTAAAACAGATGGCCCACGGCAGATGAGACCCTGAGGTATTCTGTGTTCTGCCTCACAAAGATCTATCCCAATAGATCTTCTCTCACAGGGGGTTTGGGACAATTTGATCTGATGAGAGGAAAGGTAACAAGAATAATTACAGATCCTATGATAGAGAAAATATATGTAAGCTTTCCAAGCTATTGAGTTGGAAAGGACAAGAGAATCAAAGCCAGCAAAGAAGGAGTTTTGTGAACTGTAGACAAACGCCCTTAGTATTTTGCAACACTAGAGCACAGTAGACTCAACTGGAGATTTGTTTTACATTTAAACTCTTCTTAAAGTTTAAATTGAAGTTTTTTATTTTGAGATAATTGTAGATTCACACACAGTTGTAAGAAACAATACAGAGAGTTCTCCTGTATCCTTTAACCAGTTTCTCCCAATGGGGACATCTTGTGAAATTATAGTACAAGTTCCCAACCAGGCGTTGACATCAGCTGGAGACCTTTTATCAATGTCCAGGCTCACCACAAAGATTGTGACTGATTGTTTGTACATGAGGTCGGGGCAACGGCATGTTTGAAAAGCTCCCAGATGGTTATCGAGGCAGCCAGCTTTGGAACCCAGCCTAGAGGATAGGATATGAATACTAGAAACAGAAGAGAAACAATTTATTGTGGTAATCATTCCTCAATATATATGTGCATCCAATCATCACGTTATATACTTTAAGCTTGCACAATGTTATGTCAATTATATCTCAATAAAACTGGGGGAAGAAAAAGGTTCACAGGGTGCTGGCCCGCCTGGTGGCCTAGTGGTTAAGTTCAGCGTGGTCCACTTTGGTGGCCCAGATTCGGTTCCCAGGCGCGGACCTACACCACTAGTTAGTCAAGCTGTGGCAGCAGCTCACATACAAAATAGAGGAAGATTGGCCACAGATGTTAGCTCAGGGTGGATCTTCCTCAGCAAAAAAACAAACAAACAAACAAATAAAAACCTCATGGGAGTGAGGTTGAAACCACATGGGGCAATACTTTAAATTACATATTAAATAAGGTGAGTGGGTGACATTGGAGGCTTTGAAGTAGGGTAAGATATAATCAGTCACAGTCTCCCTAATTAACTAATCTCCTTCACAGTCTGATTTCTGGAAAGAGTTGAAAGACCTGAGTTCAAATCTCATCTACCCCTGGGTAATCTTGACACAGTATTTAGATTTTATAATATACAACTTCTTTATTTTAAATGTGGGAGTACAAACTTCCAGTTGTAAAATAAATAAATTATGGGGATGTAATGTACAGCATACAGAATATAGTCAATAATATTGTAATAACTTTGTATGGTGACAGATGGTTACTAGACTTATCATGGTGATCACTTCATAATGCATATAAATGTCAAATATTATACACCTGCAACTAATATAATATTGTATGCCAACTATACTTTCATTAACAAAACACAAAAAATAAATGTGGGAGTAACCATTCCTGTCTCTTAGATGTTAGGGAAAAAATATTAAGACAGTCTGCCTCCAAGTCGAGTGTTAGATTTACATTTGCCATCCTAATTTAACCTGCTTTTTAGAGCAGTGGAAAAAGCTAGGATTCAGAAAGGAAACCTTGAGTGTAGCACTGTTCAATTCCAATTCAATGGAAGAACACAAAATCCGATGAGTCCAGAAAGTGCTCCATTATTATAGTTAAGTGAATATTATTATTACAGTACATCTTTGAATTATTTACATAGTCACCATCAGAGGCATGTGACAAATCAATCCTTCTGGTGCAGGACATTTGAGGAAAAAGTAAACTGAAGCCTAGAGTTGAAATTATTGTGAAGCCGTTTACATCTCACATACTAGAATTCTCCTATGTGTAAATATTCATCAACAGAGATTAAGAGCAGGAAAAACCGCCTAAGAATCACAGCACGCTACAAGATTTGTGTTTTTTGTTTTTTTAAGTAGCCAGTAAAGGAAATGTTAGATGTGTGAAGTAAAAGTATCATGAAAAAAAAAAAGAATGTAGTATTCAACTTGCACCAGAGGTAAAGTAAGAAGAAGACTGTGTCTTTAACATAATAGAGATGTTGAAAGAGAGAGAAAGAAAAAATGGAAAGTAAGAGTAGTGTCCGGTCACCTCAGTGTCACTGTCCCATAATTTGTGGGCAAAGAAATCCACTATTTTGGGCAATAACGGGAAGGAGCTACCTGAATTTATCTAAACATGTAAAACACTAAGACTCGTATGAGACTTTCTCCCAGATTACTGAATAACGTGGGGTATTTTTTTTGTAAACTTCATACTGTTGAAAAGAGAATAACAAAAGTCCACGTTTACCAGTATTTCAAAGGAAACTGAAGCCTTCTAGTCTACCTCCTGTCTCAGAAGAGATTCAAGTGACTTGGCTCCATATACCATGTTTTAAAATGATTAATACAATGATCATTACAAATGTATCTGGGCCAGAATACTCTAATCCAACTTGTCCACTACAAGAAAACTCCAAAATGTTATGAAAATGTTTGTTCTACACCATGATGTTGCAATTGCAACCCCTACATCTTCTTAAGGAAATAATATTCTAAGAAAGAATCCTTTCACTTAGCATCCTATGCCATCATTTTATGATGAAAATTATGCTTAGTTAAATTATTTCAGAAATGGCTTTAATAGTAAAAATCAAGCCAAAACTTTCAAATAGAGGTGATCATGTTATTTGGCCTGACGAACAATTTATACTCAGTAATGGGACCTGATCCAACACAGGTGAGTTATTAATTATCAAAAGACCAAAAAAATAAAACAAAGGAACATTTTACTTTAAATACATTTGGGTCATGATTTTCTTTTAGGAGTTCAGAAATGCCTGCAAACCCTCTTAATTATATAGAGCCACAACTCCAGGTTGTCATAGCCATAAAAAGTTATTCAATAAAATTCAGCAGGCCTAGAACTTAACCCCATTGCTCAAAGGTAAAAAGAAAAAAAAAGAAAGAAAGAAAAAAACTGTTCTTGTTATACCAGATGGAGATAACAGACTGACAGAACTAAGTATAGGAGGTATAACTATTAAAGAATATGACTTTTAAAATTGTCTCACGTTTATTAAATTATAATTTGTATACAGCATAATTCAACTTTTATAGTTGCATAGTTCTATAAATTTAGACAAGCTTGTTCTAATTGTGTAGGCACCACCACAATAAAGATGAAGAATATTTTCATAACTCCGAAAATTTCCCTTGTGTAGTTTTATAGTCAATTCTTTCCCCTTTCTCTAGCACCTGCAAACCACTGAACTGATTTCTATCTCTTTACTATATTTGACTAATGTTATGTTGAAATAGATTTAAACTCATAAAAGACACAGAAATAATATAGTGCGTCCCTATCTTGTCTTATCTATCTTCCTCAATGATAAAATCTAATATAACCACAGCACAACATAGAAGAGAAACCAGCAAACTGACGTGGCACACTACTATTCACTGAGCTGAAGAGCTTATTCTGATTCCACCATTTTTAAAATTCACTCAATTTTTTGGTGTATAGTTCTCTAAAAAGTGTCTCATATACAGAATAACATAACTACTATCACATTCAGGATATAGAATTAGTCCATCACCGCAAATAAATTCCCCCTTGGTGCTCACTTTCTCTCAACAACCATAGCCTCTGGCGTTCACTCATCTTTTCTTCATCATTATAATTTGTCATTTTGAGAATGTTATATGAATGGAGTCATAGAATAAGTAAGATTCTGAGATTGTATTTTTGCCCCCCTTGTCATAATATACATGAAATCCATTAAAGTTGGTGTGTGCATCATTAGTCTATTCCTCTTTATTTCTGGGCAATATTGCATTGCATGGATGTTTAAAATTTATCTACCCGTTCTTTTTTTTTTGTGTGTGTGTGTGTGTGTTTTATTTATTTTTTTTTTTAATTTTTTGTTTATTGCAGTAACATTGGTTTATAACATTGTAAAAATTTCAGGTGTACATCATTGTACTTCTATTTCTGCATGGACTACATCATGTTCACCACCAATATCTACCCGTTCTCCCATTGAAGGACATTTGGTTGTTTCCTATTTTGAGTTTGTTTGCTTGTTTTTTAGGTTCTACATATAAGTGATATCACACAGCATTTATCTTTTTCTGTCTTTTTTCACTTAGCATAATGCTTTCAAGGTCCATCCACATTGTCACAAATGGCAAGATTTCATTCTTTTTGGGGTTGAATTATGTTCCGTTATACATATATATTCCATTATATATATTCCAGATATACATATATATGCCAGATATATACAAAATGGAATATATATTTATATATACCACATTTTCTTTATCCATTTATTCATTGAGGAACATTTAGGTTGTTTCCACGTTTTCGGCTGTTGTAAATAATGCTGCAACAAACATGGGGGTGTACACATCTTTCAAATTAACGTTTTCGTTTTCTTCGGATAAATACTCAGAAGTAGAATTGCTAGATCATATGTTAGTTCTATTTTTAACTTTTTGAGGAACCTCCACACTGTTTTCTATAGTGACTGTGCCAATTTACATTCCTGCCAACAGTGCACAAGTGTTCCCTTTTCTCTGCGTCCTCGCCAACACTTATTTCTTGTCTTTTTGGTAATAGCCATTCTAACAGGTATGAGGTGATATCTTGTTGTGGTTTCGGTTTGCATTTCCCTGATGATTAGTGACATTGAGCACCTTTTCATGTACCTATTGGTCATCTATATGTCTGCTTTGGAAAAATATCTATTCAGATCCTCTACCTATTTTTTAACTGTACTGTTTGTTTTTTTGCTACTGAGTTATATGAGTCTTTTACATATTTTGGATATTAACTCCTTGTCAGGTATATGATTTGCAAATATATACTCTCGTTCCATAGGTTGCCTTTTCATTTTGTTGATGGTTTCCTTTGCTGAGCAGAAGACTTTTAGTGTGATGTAATCCTACTTGTTTATTTTTGCTTTTGTTGCCTTTG